TTTTATTAATTTTTAATTTTTTAATATTTTAATTTGAAATAATCTCATACATGTAAAAAAAACTATAAAATACTACAGCATATTATATGTACCCTTCACCCAATTTCTTAGGTGTTAATAATTTAAACATAACCATTATACAACTAACAAAATTTGGAATATATTTTTCTTATAATCTCTTTAATGTTACTTAATCCATTTACTTTGTTTTTGTTCATCTTCACCCAAGGATATTTTTCCATTGAATTTTAGAGAGAGTGAAGGGAAAGGGAGAGACACATTGATTGGTTGCCTCCTGCACATGCTTTGATAGGGACTGGGGATCAAGCCAGCAACTGAGGTACATGCCCTTGACTGGAATCGAACCTGGGACCCTTCAGTCCACGGGCTAATGCTCTATCCACTGAGCAAAACAGGCTGCAGCTTAATTCATTTACTTTTAATCTATATGTGTCTTTATATTTAAAGTGGGTTTTGTTTTTGATTCACCCTCATAATCTGTCTTTTAATTGGTGCATTTATGCCACTGACTTTCAGAGTGCTTACTTATAGAGTTACTACCGTATCAGGCAGCTTCTGGGGCTTCTGGGGCTGGCCCACCTTGCAGCTGGGGACCGGTTGAGGTCCCGGGCAGCAAGACAGGCTGGCTTCTGGGGCTTCTGGGTCCCCTGTGGCAAGGCAGGCCAGCTTCTGGGGCTTCTGGGGCCGGCCTGCCCTGGATGGCAGTGTGCTGGCAGCTGGCGCTGTTCGGCCCTGCCTGCAGTATGCAAATTAGCCGCCATCTTTGTTGGCAGTTAATTTGCATATCGCATTGATTAGCCAATGGGAGGCGTAGCGAAGGTATGGTCAATTACTATGTTTGTCTATTATTATATAGGATGACTATAAGGAACGTAAAGCAACAATTGACATGGATCCATTCACACCATTTGCCTTACCCTAGTAGAAAAGAAAGGTGAATGGATTTTGGCACATCATTTGTTTCAGTTTTGTCCTCCAGTTTTTAGTTCTTTTTCACTTGCAAACACAGGATGGCTGGAAATAGGTGTTTGCATTTATGCTGTATACCATGTCACCTCCATGAGGTTTTGAAAGCACTAGAGATATAAAAATATTGTCTTTAGCAGTGAGCTGTGATTCAGAGCTGAAGATCTGAGAAGCTGTACTTTTAAACCTAAGGGCTTATGTTACATGCATAAGAAGATAAGTGCTAATGCCTCAAATTTAAAACTCAACCATGCTCATCACTATTTTATTATGCTGTGTTTGCCTGACTGAGTGTCTATATTTAGAAGAACACCTTTCGGTCATTTCATTTTTGCTTTCCTGTATGAAAAACAGGATTCATGTATTTTTCATGTCAAGCTGTCATGGGTGTTAATTTACTTTATAAATTTCCATAAAATTATTAATGATGATATAATTATGTGTTTTAGACAAAGAAGAGGGCTTTGCTATTAGACATTGCTTATTTATCTTATAGAGAACAAAGGCTAAATGATTTGTTAAAATATTAAGAAAAACTTGTTATTACCAATATTTGTTTATCCAAAAATTTTTAAAGTTTTTTTTTCCTTTCCTAGGTTCCTTTTTGTTTATGGGACGAGTGACAAATCCTGACACTCAAAATGTGAAGGGAAGGGATTTAGATTCGCTGTGAATGAAATGCACAGAGATTAAGGTGGTTACTAGAAAAGAGAATTGATTGTCAAAATATCATCATCTTGCAAATATATTCTGTATATCTTTTTCTGTTTTAAACTGTGCCTGTGTTAATCTGTATTAATATAGACCTATATTAATGAATAAACGAAATTAGCAGTATATAAAGATTTATTCAATGTTTCTATTCTTTTTGTATGTTTTATGTAGTCTATTTGAATCAAAAGCAGTGAACTTGCATTAATATTACTATTTATATGTTAGTACAATCCTATCTAAGATATTTTAGATATCAAATTTCTGTCATAGATATCAAAGTCTCTATATTGCTTAAAGATAGTTGACTCCCAGGTATAACAAACAGCACTACCCAGATCATGGGGAACTAAGGTTCAGATAGAGTGGGTGTTGTGTGCGCCTCTCTAGGGTGCTACTTAAAATGCAGAGATCCGCTATCTATGATAGCAGATTGAGTTTTTTGCTAATCTTATTCTGTGTGTTGCATATAATATTTACATTGTTTTAATACCTCTTAGGACATATCACATTTTTTTTATTCTGACTTATGCTTTAAATATGTCTAGAAAGTAGAAATGAGAACTTTATAAAGCTTTCATGTACATGAAAGTGTCAGTTAAATTAGTGTGATTCAGGAGGCTGGCCTTCCAAGATTTTACAACACTTAGCTAAGAACGTGTTAGAGTGAAGATTGTCATCTATAAAGATGAAATGCAGAATCCTTCCTCTGAATACCTTGAACTGTCAGATAGAAATATCTAAAGTAATACAACATTCCAATGACTTGATATAACATGTCTCACAGTTTTTCCATTTGCATGTTAATGATGTCAAGTGCCTTTTTGCAATTCTTGGCAGAGATCTTCATGATAATGGCTACCCATTGTTGAGCCCTAATGATATATCAGGCACTAAAGTAAACACTTTACATTATGTTAACTGTACTAAAAATCTGATGAGATACTATTACCCATCTTTCTGATGAAGAAACTGAGACTCTAAGATGTTATATAAATCAGTCAAGATTATATAGCAAATAGACATGGTGGTCATTACCATATTTCAAAGTATGAACCCAAGACTATCTGAGCTGGAAGCCTGTGACCATAATCACTGAGTTATAATTCCTTCTACTAAAATCCTTCAGTGTATTCAGGTCCCCCTCTGAAACGTTGTGCTGTCTAGTCCTCTAAGTCTAGGTGTTCATCTACAGCGAAACCTAGAGCAATATTCAAGATATTATGAAGACCATTTTAGAATTGTGATTGCTTAAAACCATAACATTAAAAGCCATGTTCATTTTCCTGTACTGTCAATTTGAGCTTACTTAGGTATAACACTTTAAATGCTAATCTATATGTTAATGACATAGCATAAATTTGTTCCTTATCAGGGAATTGGTTTAAAAATATGCTTCCTTCATTCAGGGAGTAGAGAATAATCAGCTCAGTTAAGAGTATAGTAGTTTTATTCAGGTCTGTTCCAGATTCCTGTTTTCCTGGGATTGCCTGCATTCTTAGGATCTTCTTCCACATGTTACAAGTCAGTCTGCTCTGGGGCTTCCTTCCTTCCTTCCACACAGTATAACTGTGTTCCAGGCACTGTTCTAGACACGGGGATAAACCAGTGAACAAAACTGACATGGTCTTTGCCCTCAAGGGGCTGACTTTTTACCGGTGGCAGAAAGACAGTAAACCAGTGAACAAACAGAAAAACAGGTTAATTTCAAATGGTGAAAAGCAATGACTAATGTAACAGGATGAGAAAATAAGAAGGGTTTTAGAAACTAAGACAATGTAGTAAAATGACTGCCCAAGTTTCACTTTAAGTACGTGTTTTTATAATGTGTTCCTAATGTATTTGCTTTTTTTCAATAAGATCTGTTGACTACCTCCCTCAAGTTTCCTCCTACGGAGCCTGACTTTATACTGTAGGGTAGTTTGGCTGCTGGTTTTCTTCGCTGATTTTATACTCTATGTCTGGTAGGTGTTACTTGCCTTAAAAAAGGAGAAAGTTTAAGATGCCCTGGAGTCAACTATCTTTAAGCAATATAGAGACTTTGATATCTATGACAGAAATTTGATATCTAAAATATCTTAGATAGGATTGTACTAACATATAAATAGTAATATTAATGCAAGTTCACTGCTTTTGATTCAAAACTTTAAGGAGAAAGTTTAAGAGAATGTAGCCTTCTTGTGTGGGTTCAAGCTGAACATTTCCACTTCTATTATTTAGAAATATAGTGGCCAAAGCATTTCCAAGTTTAAAACATTTTGTTGTTGTTGTTAAACCTTACCCGAGGATATTTTTCCATTGACTTAGAGAAAGAGTGGAAGGGAGGAGGAGAAACAGAGAGAGAGAAACATTGATGTGAGAGAGACACATCAATTAGTTGTCTCCTGCACATGTTCCAACCAGAGCTGGGGACTGAGCCTGCAATCAAGGTACATGCTCTTGCCCAGAATCAAACCTGAGACTCTTCAGTCTGCGAGTGGACACTCTATCCACTGAGCCAAACCAGCTAGGGCCCAAATTAAAACTTTTAATCTCCACCTTCAGCTGCAATTAACTCAGTAGCTATAATAGCTCTATATTATAAAATTTAGAAGCATCTAAAATATATCTATAAAATATATATCTATTATGAAATAAAATAATATGAAGTAATTTTTCTTTGCCAAACTATATAAAATATTTAAGATTCACAGCAGTACATAATTTTGTGGGATAAGAATATTGTCAAACTAAAACCCCTTGTAGAAGTCAACTATATCACATATATTTTCCCCCCTCCCGAGGGAAAATAGACATTAAAGTAGGACATGGGACCTGAGAGGTCAAAGGACTTCGTCGAAGAACAATTACTTTTTAGGGGTGAATTTTAGAGGATTCTCCCAAATTAGAAGATCCAGACACCTTAACAGATACAGAGAAAGATTTAGGCAGATTTTATTAGAGGGCAGTGCTTCGGACCTCTGGGAATAAGATGTTTTCCCACAGTGTGGCCTCAGACCATTGAGACATGCTGTGGTCCTGAGACTGATGGAAAAATGGGCCAGCAGTAATCTGTTTGTAAGAATTCTTTTTTTTTTTTTTTTTACCTGCTTCCCCCCCCCTTTTTTTTTTTTTTTTTTTTTTCTGGCCTCTTATGTGATCATCTCTAAATCTGAAGCCTGAAATCCAAGAGGTCAAACATCTAGTTTCTTTCTCTTTTGATACTTCAAGTGACCACCCTGATGGTATATAAAGAAAGTAAAGGATGAGATAATTTTCACCATCGAACATTATCTTTTTGGCTTGTCCCTCAATTCTCTGGGACTCCAGTTTCCTCATTGTATAGTGAAGGGTTGGACAAATCTTATTTAGAGTTTTTATTCCAAACCTTGAACTTCTCAACAAAAACATGTCTTTGGAAAATCATTTGAATCATTATTGTCTATAAGCAGCATTTGTTTGTTTGTTGTGTGTGAGTGTGCTTTCACAAAACAAAAGAAAATCCAGGATATACCTCTCACTAGGGTCTTGGCCCATTGCATACATAATCCTTAACTATTTATAGTTGTCTCTGTATAATTTGATATTAACATTTTAAAAACAGAACGCATATAAAACAATTTTACTGTTATGACAGAGACCTCTATCTAGTGAAGACCTTTGGTTTCCACAGGGTAGAGCTGTTGCTGGGCAGTGGTGACCTGGTCAGGGCTTCATTCCAACCACTGTTGCATTATCTACTCTCACTAATAGAATGTGAGTGGCAATGAGTGTGCCACTTGTGAGCTCAAATAAAAAGAAACAAGTGTCCCTCTCTAAGTGCTCTCTTCTTCTGTGCCAGGTAGATGCCAATGCTCAAGATGACCCTGGAAGCCCTAGATGAGAGGATGGAGCCACTGGGCTCCTTTATCACCGTGCATTACAGATCCTCTCTGCTGCCTGGGTCAAAGCCAACCATGATTACCTACTGGCTTTGGAGAGTGATGGGAGCAAGAGGTATATTTTCATTGGAATTTGAGGGATTTGTTAGTGATAAGAGTGAGTGTTAATTTGGTACCTTTAACAGGGTACTTCTATAACAGAACCCAAAGTATGTGGCATAATTAGAGGTGGACAGCAATAACAACAACAATAACAGCAACAGCACAGTTATAGCAGACTGGAAGCCAGGTGCCGTGGCTGACCAGCAGCCCCTGAACAATGGATGAACAGATTTCTCTGACATAGTTTCACTGTCAGGGAGAGGGCTAAGGGACGGCCTGGCTGAAGAAGCCAGGCAGCCTCTATTGCCCGCCCCTTTAGGCTTTTATTGGAATTTTTATCTTTAGATACAATCAGTAGGGTGAGTAATCTTGAGAGGATACATGTGTTTACATTGTCCTCTAGGCAAGGGCATCCAGGGATTAAGCATAAGGATTCCAGGAAACACCTGGGGGGTCTGCATATGCACAGGCTTGTTTGGAAAGGTCAAAGAATAATTAGGGACACTGCCTTCGACACTCCCCTAAGTCTTCCCTAAGTCGGAATTCTGGTAAACAGGGTAGGAGGCCTTCCACACACTTCCCTTTTCTCAGAATGTCCTCCTTACAAACTTTCCAACCAAGTCTCTTGTGCTCCCCAACAGCCAGGAGAGCTTGTTAAAATGTAAAAATATTTGGTAAACTTGCTGCCATGATAATTTGGAAAGTAGACCATGTGCATACTGACCCTGCAGACAACATTTCACATTTTGTTTGAACTTGTTAGACTACTTGACCTGCTCTTACCAGGTGGAATACAAATAGAAATGTTATGTGTTACTCCTGGCTACAGTGGTTAGGAAGAAAGTTTGTCTAACTTTCTTTCTCTGTTGTTCACTCTGTTGGCTGTGCATCAACATTAAGGATGACCATGGAAGCCTTTGAGGTATCTGGAAGATGGCAGAGGCTCCATCAACCTGGGTCCCCAGCCTGCCCCCTCACAGTCCAGGAGCCCTCAGGGGAT